TGCCTTCCTTAAAACGGTAGTAAAATATTAAGTACTGACTTGGTCCTGTCCCAGCGAGCTCCATCTAAGAATAATCCATGGATATAAACACCATCTTCTGGTGCAGTATCAGATGTATCTGTAGGAATAACCTAAAAGGAAATAACTTATGTTACATGTTAATAAGTTGATTAAGAGACCCTCTTAAGTTGTTTAAGAGCCATTAAACCAATACCCAACTGCCAATTTTCAGAAGAACAATCCAAAGCCAGGAGGAGAATCACGTATCTTTCAGTGAAACTTTATTTACAGTACTTGTAAATACAAGTACTATCCTGCTGAGGGGTAAAAAAACTCCACAGCAGCACACACGCAGATGCTTGAGGTACTAGCTAGGGCATGAGGGTGCTTCAGCGTGGGGGCTGCCTGCTGGGTAGCCCCGCACCCAAGCAGTCTCATGCCCCAGCCAGCCCCTCTGTAGCACGGTGAGGTGGAGGGAGCAGCGCTAGCAGGTTGAACCCTTGGTCCCCTGCCAGCCAGGGCTACTCTGACTTGGCTCAATTTGCTGCTGTCCCAGGTGCATGTGCAGATGTGTGCTTAGCAGCAATAAACTCCAGAGCTTATTGCTGCACATTAATAGCACATGTAGATGCACCCTTCCTGGTACTTAAGAAACTCCATTTTTAAGTGATTTGCTTGTGTAATAATATGGTTCTGTGTAACCATGAGAAACCTCTTAATGGGTTTCCTTTAGAGGTGCAAGGTTGAGAAAACATCACATACTAATACAGTGGGCTCGCAGAATCTACCACTACACTACTGGTTAAGGTCCTGACGGGTTATGTGCAAGTAACACCTCCAGTAACAGACAGGACTCCTCTACTTAATGTATCACACAGCAATACTGGGGCCCAAATCAGAACATGTTTACAACTTAGCCATACCTGAAATTCATATCCCAAGAGGTCAATTGGGATGGTGTACTTCCTGGCATAGTTCTGCATTGCTCCAGTTAAAAAGGCTTGAGTAAAATAGAATCCTGACAGCCAAAAAACAGTGGGCTTCCCTAATTCATACCAATCCTGTGAAAAGGAAAATGGAGATAGTTCAAACACCTTTCCTATTCAGAACCAGGCAGTTTTCTTTATAAAATTATCATGACTCATTATTCTTAGTCATATTCCACAAAACTATCTTAAGAAAAGTTACATATAAAACAGTAAATGTTTTGCTAATTCTCCAAATACACACTCATTTTAAATCAAATAGAAAAGATCATTAGTAATTCTCTTGTTTTACCTGTAAGAATTTCAGCCTAGCTAGAAAATCCAGGATATAACTCCCCAATGGTTTAAGACTTGGGTATGAACGCTGAGCCCAGCTTTCTGGAACTTTTCCAATAAGCAGACTGCCACACAGGGCCTCCAGCTCTGAATCCATAACCACCAAACCTTTAATAGCCTTTTTCAGGTTTATTAAAGTAATACGTATAGTCCGGATTAAACTAGAAATAAACAATAAAACAGCAGAAGTGTCAAATGTAATACAACTGGTTCGATATCACGTCACATCTTTGGTAAGGCATCTCATCAGTTCATCAGCTAAAGAAACATTACATTATGAATTAAGGTTATGAATTAAGTGTATAATGAGCTGTTTCTCCACAACAGGAATCCAGGTTTCCACCTCCCACAGGAAAATAGAGAAAAACGCTGGTTTTCCCTTTACCAGAGAAAAACACAGATTTCTCATTTTAATGAAGAAGCACATGTCTTTTGCACATTTGCAAAGAGCTCTCTGCAGGCTGGCAGAGTACCAGCCTGCAAGGGTCTGGGGGAAGTGGGAGGAGGGCGGTCGGGCAGGGGGTGTGTCACAGAGCACTCAGGGGCTCTGTGCCTGAAGAGAGGGAAACTGCTAGGGAAGGAGTCCTAGCAGTGACTAAGGAACACAGCTGTGGGTTGCTGGGGCAACTAATGAGAGTCAGCTGACCGGAAAGGGGCAGGGCCTGGCCCTTATAAAAGCCCAGAAGCAGAGGCCTGAGGCAGTTCCCTACCAGCAGCCAGAGAGGCAGGAGCTCTGGGAGATGTGAGGAGAGGCCTGACTGGAGGTACTGCTAACAGCGGCTCCAAGATGCTGGAGCAATGTTGTTGTAGCCCGACGGCTTATGTTTGATTTATAGCCAGGAGGCTCAAGTTTGTGTTTGCTGTTTGTTAATACTGGTGGTTTGGGTGAGGCTATTAGGGGTTGGAGGAGGCCTCATAGGAGACCCACAATAGCGTGGGGATCCAGGCGCCAGAGCGGGGCGCAGTTTACAGGGTGCGTAGACCCCAGCCCCAGAGAGGGGCGTTTGAAGAGCCCAAGGTGGGCGTAGCAAGCCCCAGAGAGGGGGCAGTACTGTTAGGAAGCCCAAGTGGGGCACGGCGAGCCCCAGAGAGGGGGGTTGCACGATTGCAAAGCCCAAGTGTGGGCACGGCAAGCCCCAGGAAGGGGGCCATCTTAGTGAGAAGCCCAAGTGGGGCACGGCAAGCCCCAGAGAGGGGGGTCGCACGATTGCGAAGCCCAAGTGTGGGCACAGAGAGCCTCAGACAGGGGGCAGTATTTTAAGACGCCCAAGTCGGGCACGGCGAGCCCCAAAAGGGGGGTCGCAGGACTGAGAAGCCCAAGTTGGGCACAGCAAGCCCCAGGAAGGGGGCCATCTTAGTAAGAAGCCCAAGTGTGGGCACGGAGAGCCCCAGATAGGGGGCAGTATTATTGCGAGGCCCAAGTTTGGGCGCTGGGAGCCCCAGATAGGGGATCGCATTGTAGGGGGCCCAAGCTGGGCACCGGAAAGCCCCGGGGTGGAGGGGGCACCAAAAGGAAGGAAGGTCCGGGGAGAACAATAAGGGGCCAAAACAGGGACTGAATAGAGATAACAGCGATTTCATCTGCGAGGCTTGGGCTGCGGTGGGAGGAAAGGGAGCCACAGACAGCGCCCCTAGTGGCGGGGCAGGACAAGGGCAGCCTCCTGCTAATTAATTTAATTAATTAATTAAGATCAAGACGTGGCAGGCAAGACAAAGCGGGCGGTTGCCCAGAGACAGGTGCGTGGGCCACATTAAGGGTGGCCTAGAGTGACGACCTGTTACAACGGTGCATTGGCCGGGAAAGTTTCGTACAGCAGTACGCATCATTGGACGCTGGTTTGGCCGTATCAGGAAAAGAATCCCTGGGCCCAGAAAGGGAGAAAGGGAGCAGAGGCCTGGCCCAGATCCAGAGTTGCAACCACAGGTTGTGATGTTGCTACAGCAAGCAATTCAAGGCCTGTGGGAAGCCACTAGGTGACAGGCTCTGTTAGCAGAAACGATGGAAAACACCCACACCCGACCGGCGATCCAGGTGGGGATGTGTGGCTACAGAGCCAGGAGGGACCCTGGGGTAGGAAAGGAGCCACCTGCAGTCACGGCTGAAGTGACAATAGATGGCAGAACCATCCAAGCTATGCTGGATTCGGGCTCGTTGCAGACCCTGGTGCAGAACAAGGTGCTACCGACAAGAGGAAGGGAGGTAGTGGACGATGTACAGGTGCAATGTTATTGCGGGGACTCCTGTAGGGTCGACAGAGTAGGGGTCAGGCTTCGGGTAGGCAAGAGCGACCGACAGATGCTAGTAGGGGTTGTCAAGCAGTTACCCTACCCAGTGGTACTGGGTTGCGACTGGTCTGAGTTGTTAAGGGAGATAGCTAAGGCAAGGTCGCAGAAGAAGGGTGAGGTGGTGGCTGGGAGATAGCTAAGGCAAGGTCGCAGAAGAAGGTTGGGGGGTTCGCTGTAGATACAGAACAGGGACACCCTGAAGAAGCGGTTGGACGAGAAGTGGATGTCACTGCTCTGTGGGAAGATGAGCACTTCCAGCTGGAGCAGAGTTGGGAGGCAGACTTCCGCCATGCGTTGCATGAACACCTGGCACGATGAGACGACGAGGTTCTACGGCCCAAACTGATGAAGGTAACACCGAGGTTTGAGGTACGGAACGGTCTACTTTACCGCATTGAGTAAGGCAAGCCTGAAGAGGAAGAGGTCATGCAGCTACTGGTGCCTCGGCGATATCGACGGGCCGTTATGAAGGTGGCTCATGAACTACCTATGGGGGGACATTTGGGCCGGGACAAAACTGAAGCCCGCATTAGGGCAAGATTCTTTTGACCCGGACTGCTGAGAGAAGTGGCGAGATATTGTGCCTCTTGTCCAGTGTGTCAAAAAGCCGACCCGAGGCGCCCCCCCCAAAGGCCCCTTTAATTCCTATGCCTTTGATGGAGGTTCCGTTCGAACAGGTAGCCGTGGACATCGTGGGGCCACTTCCCCGAAGTAGTACTGGGGGAACCAGTATATTTTAGTAATATTAGATTATGTGACCAGGTACCCAGAAGCTGTGCCAATGAGGACAATATCGGCTCCAAAGATGGCAAGCGAACTATTGAAAATATTTTCGCGGGTAGGACTCCCTAGGGAATTATTAACGAACCAGGGAACGAATTTTACATCCTGCGTTTTTGAGGGCGTGAGTAAAGCCCTAGGGATTAAGCATCTGAAGACAACTGTCTACCACCCCCAAACAGACGGACTGGTAGAACGTTTCAATCAGATGTTGAAACAGATGTTAAAGAAGTTCGTGACCGAGAGACCGCAGGACTGGGACAAAATGATACCACCTTTGCTGTTCGCAGTAAGAGAGGCCCCCCAAGCCTCAACAGGGTTTTCACCCTTTGAACTGTTATACGGCCGACAACCCCGGGGAATACTTGATTTGATTAAAGAAGGTTGGGAGGAACAGCAGGGTAGAGACCAGAACTTGATACAATATGTGGTACAACTGCGAGAGAGACTGGGGGCTGCTCGCAGTGAGGTCGTGGGCAATCTCAGGGAGGCCCAGCAACGCCAGGTGAGATACTATAGTCAAGGCACCTGGGAAAGGAAGTTTGAGGAAGGGGACTGCATGTTAGTTCTATTACCGGATAGAGAGAGTAAGCTGCTCGCCCGATGGCAGGGACCCTACGAAGTCACACGCAGAGTGGGGCCCTTGGATTACGAGGTATATCAGGCCGATAGACAGAAGAAGCAGATATATCACATCAACCTGCTGAAGAAGTGGGAAGAGCAAGAGTGTATATATTTAGCCTCTTGGCCGGATGAACTAGAGTTAGGACCCTTCTTGACAGAGGAGAGCGGACCAGGCGACGTGGAACTCGCATCAGGCGACTTGGAGCTCGCATCGAGATTATCGAAGGCCCAGAGGGAACAGGCTGCCGAACTAATCGGGGAGTTTGAAGACGTGTTCCAGGAAATGCCTGGGGAAGCTCAGGGTGTGGTACACCGGATAAAAACTCCTCCAGGCCAGGTGATCAGGGAGAGCTGGAGACGGATTCCCCAGAGGCTACAGAGTCAGATAAAAGCGGAAATTGAAATGATGTTGGAGAAGGGCGTCATATGCAGGTCCCACAGTGACTGGCGGAGCCCCATTGTGGTAGTACCCAAACCTGATGGAAAGATTCATTTGTGCGTAGACTTCCGGAAGGTAAACGCGGTAGCGAAGTTTGATGCCTACCCAATGCCAAGAGTGGATGAACTGGTAGAGAACATTGGTCAGGCCCACTACATCTCCACCTTAGACCTGACAAAGGGATATTGGCAGGTGCCAGTGGCACCTGAGGACCAGGAGAAGACAGCCTTTGCAACCCCGTGGGGGCTCTTCCAGTTCAGATGCATGCCGTTTTGACTCCATGGAGCAGCAGCCACATTCCAGCAACTAATGGACAGAGTTTTTGGCCCCCCATATGGATTATGCGGCAGCATATATAGACGATATTATTATCTATACAGAAGAATGGGCCGAACACCTCCAAGCGTTAAGGGCGGCGGTACAGGACTTGAGACGGGTCGGGCTGACAGCCAATCCAAAACAATGCACTATAGGGAAGGAAGAAACGCAGTATCTGGGTTTCCTGGTAGGAAGTAGGAAAGTGAAACCACTTTTAAGCAAAGTGGAGGCTTTGCAGAGGTACCAAGCGCCCCAATCTAAAAAACAAGTGAGGGCTTTCCTGGGGCTAGCCAATTACTATAGAAGGTTTGTGCCCCACTTCGCAGATCTAGTGGTGCCATTGACAGAGATGACCAAAGCGAGAGCCCCAGCCAAGGTAAGATGGATGCCAGAGGCGGAGAGGGCCTTCCAAACAGTGAAGGAAGCATTATGCTTGCAACCTCTGTTATTTACCCCGGATTTTAACAGACCCTTCTTGGTGCAGACCGATGCGTCCGAAGCAGCGATTGGGGCAGTACTGATCCAGCTAAGAGGGGAGGAAGAGCGCCCCATAGCATATATAAGTAGGAAATTACATCCACCGGAGCGGAATTATGCCACAATAGAAAAAGAATGTTTGGCAATCAAATGGGCCGTGGAAACATTCCGCTACTATTTGCTGGGAAGACAATTCACGCTGCTTACGGACCACGCACCCCTCCACTGGTTGCAGAACATGAAAACGGACAACGCCAGATTGATGAGATGGGCCCTAAGTTTGCAACCCTACTGTTTTGAGAAAACATCACCCGGGCAGTAAGAATATAAGCGCAGATTTCCTCTCAAGGCAGTATGAGGAAGAACGGGGGTTGGGAGGAACAGGAAGACCACGACCAAGAAAAAAAGGGGGGTCAACCCTTTTGTGAATGACCAGTGGCAAAGGTCAAGGGACGGCCGAGAAATGGACTCCTAGCGGTCCATTAGTCAAAGACTGCAGGGGAAAGGTAGGCCTGAGTTGCACCCTACCAGAGGTGGCTAGTGTGGGGGGATTACCTGTGGCAGGGTAACTCCTGACAAATCCCACACGGTGCACCCTTGGGTAAAAGGCGAGAAAGAGGTGCCTGAAAACCTCTGCCTAAGGTATCCAAGGTGCTGGAAGAAAGGCCGAGGAAGACCCCACATTGAAGCGAGACCTGACGAAAGGGAAGATCTGCCTCGGTGAGTCGGGATCTTGAGGGGGGAGGTGTGTCCACAGAGCACTCAGGGGCTCTGTGCCTGAAAAGAGGGAAACTGCTAGGGAAGGAGTCCTAGCAGTGACTAAGGAGCACAGCTGTGGATTGCCGGGGCAACTAATGAGTCAGCTGACCGGAAAGGGGCAGGGCCTGGCCCTTATAAAAGCCCAGAAGCAGAGGCCTGAGGCAGTTCCCTGCCAGCAGCCAGAGAGGCAGGAGCTCTGGGAGATTGCCACAGGGTGCCATGTGCATGTACATACACATGATTGCCAGGTAGTCTGGAGAGCAGCTCCTGCAGGTGAGTCTGGTGGGGTGGGAGGGGGGATTAAGGCCCCCATAGGGAGGGAGAGAGTGAGCTGGGCAGGGCTGGGGCTGCTGCCCAGCCCAGGTGGTTCATGGGGCTTGGGGCCTGGAGCCAGAACGCGCAGCTGCAGGGCCCAGGCATGGAGTGGGACAGAACCACAGGCGGTTTGTCCAAGGGTGGGGGGGAAGGGCTGGCTCCCTGCTGCTACACACACTCCAGGGGAGCACAAGGGGGCATGTGCTCCCCAGACATGTGCAGAGAACAGGGGCAGGCTTCCCACTGCAGGCTCATGCTCCCTGCCCTGCTGCCCTCCCCCTGGGGCCTCTGTGGCCCAGCAGGTGGGAACCAGTGTGGCAGGGCAGAGCGGGGCAGGGCGGGAAGCTCCTTGGTGCCACTGCACTGCCATGGTGAGGCATCACCTGTCTGTCCGGCAGCGAGACAGAGTCGTGCCCCTCACTGCTGTCGGGCAGGCAGGGGGCACCTCACCATGGTGGTACAGAGCTCCCAGTTATGGCACCAAGCTTCCCTGCCCAGCCCTGCTCTGCCCTGGTGCGCCATGTCCCACCTGCTGCACCGCAGAGGCCCCAGGGGGAGGGCAGCAGGGTGGAGAGCCCAAGCCCAGAGCAAACAGCCCCTCGTCCCCCCAATGGGCTCTGCTCCAGCCTTGCCGCCTGTGGGGGAGAGGGAGCTGGGCTCCGTGCACCATTCTGGTGCAACAGCCACTGCTTCCTGTGTGAGACAGCTGGGGCTTGAGCACTGCTGTGGGGATCAGGGGACTGCAGACCCAGGTTCCTGGCCCTGTAGCCCTGGCAGCTGGGGCCCCGCTCTGGCAGGGCTAGGGAGCAAGGGCACAAGCAGGGCGGGGGGAGGCTGTGGATGTGGAGTGAGGGACACCAGCGGAACCATTCTGGTGCAACAGCCACTGCTTCCTGTGTGAGACAGCTGGGGCTTGAGCACTGCTGTGGGGATCAGGGGACTGCAGACCCAGGTTCCTGGCCCTGTAGCCCTGGCAGCTGGGGCCCCGCTCTGGCAGGGCTAGGGAGCAAGGGCACAAGCAGGGCGGGGGGAGGCTGTGGATGTGGAGTGAGGGACACCAGCGGAGGTGTGGGGACTGTGGGTGGGGAGTGAGGGGCACTGGCAGGGCTGGGGGGGATGTGGCTTGGGAGTGAGAAGCTTGGACCTGAGTCCTGGTGAGGTAAGGGGGCAAGGGGAGCTCTGATTTTCTATGATAAAAAACCCAAGATCAAATACCAAAATGTATAGGTATTTAGAATGTATGCTATTGAGGCACTGGTAGGCTTCCAAATTGCTTTAAAATTGTCAATAAAACATTGTGTTCATCTGATACCTATATATATAGTGCCATCTAATTTAATTTAATCACAGATTTTGCGATTTTTTTTATTTTTTTTTTTTTCATTAGAGAATGTGATTTCTCTGATTTAAAAAAAAAACAAAAAACCAGGATCCTGCAAAATCTGCAAAGGTAGAGATTGTGTTCATATTGTTGCCTGTTACAAGTCTTTTTTTTTCAGTGTGTATAAATGTACGTTCGGAGACACCTTGGCATATCAATTGAAGAACATGACAATCAAAAGACCTGAGCTCTACTTCAGATACTGGCACTGACTTGCTCTGTCACCAGGAAGAAATCACTTTAATTTACAGTAATGTCTAAGTTTCTCCATCTGACTTTCCAACATCAAGAGACTTAACCCATTACAATCTGCAACATGTCAGAAATGTCTGGAAGAAAGGTCAGATGGAAATTTATCTTTGTTTGATTACAAAGAGTTGAGAGAGCAAAACACAACCTGAGCTTTAAAACCCCCAAATAAAAGAAAATTATGATCCAGAGCTGAAGCTTGCAGGTGCCTGAAATTCCCAAATCTTTGGGAAAGCTTTTGTTCAGCCCCAATGCACCAGGAAGATGCAGGCCTTTGCAAAAAATGGTAGTACCATGCAGTGGATGCTTATGAGGAGATAATGATTCAATGACAGATTTATACATTCATGTGTTTCTCTTTATGTGAAATAAAATATTTCTGCTACCATACTTTTAAAATCTAATGAGGTATTTTGTTTCCCACATTTTCTTGTCTCATACTGTCCTTCCAGAGGGTAGACAGTAAAACAATAATCCTAAAAATGCATTGGAGGGTGGTAAAGGGAGAAAAATAGTAATGGGAGAGAACATTAGGAGTTGGGAAAAGGAAGGAGTCTAGACTAGTGATTTGAAGGAAAAGAGTAAAAAGGCAGGAAGAAGGGGCAACCAGGGAAAGGAAAAAGAAAGTGTTGAAGACAGATGGGAGGTGGTAAAAAAATAAGGAATAGAAGTGGGAGAGGGGAAGACAACAAGCACAGAATCAAAGAGATGGAAGAGAACAGGTGAAAGCAATGAAAATAGGAAGGTAAAAATAGAAATGAAAAAAAGCAAACAATGCATAAGTTTACATGTACATATGCACATCCTCCAGTTCCCCTTTCCAAATCCTCTCCTCCTGTCAGCTACATGACACATCTTCCCAATCAATTCATCTGCCCGTTAGGGCTTCAACCATAAATTACGCTACAGTCTGCCTTTCCAAATGGGGGGAAAGTGCTTGGATTGTAGATATCAGGGAATTATAACTGGAACAAAGAAAACATGCTCTCATGTTAAGAAGTGAGAGTCCACACTGGACACACTGTGGGATTGCCTCTTATGGGAATGATTAGAGGTGTGTTTGAATTAACTAACACAATTCCTTACTTGTTAAATCTCTCCATTTCTTGCACCAGCACAGTGTTCATACTTTCTTCATATCTCACAGGATACTTTAGTAGTGAAGCCTCAATGTCAAAATCATTTGGAAGCTGTAAATGTCAACATATTTAAATATACTTTGACAAGTGCAGATGAATTATGACTTATAATTGTTTTTAACTCATACTCAAAGCAAACAAGCTCATAACAACAACATAACCACCACAGGAAAAGATATTCTGTAACACCCTTTAATGAATATCTGATCAATACATACCTGATATTGCAATTAAAAATGTCATTTTAAAAATGACCTTTAAAATCTTTAGCATCATGTACAATTTTCAATAAGTGTTTAATGGTTGTAAAGTGGTTCTGTAATACTGAATTGACTTGCCAGGGTAATTGCACTGATTTCTCTCCTTCCTGTTTTCTGCTGCTCAATGACACCTCTTCCAGTCTACTTATACTTGTAGCCTTTTCCCAGCCTGGTAAGTTTTGCACTTTTATTCTGTATTGAATGGTCTAATACTTCCCACAGCATTATTCCCAGAGCAAAATGACACACAGGGATCACAGATTTAGTACAAGAGGGGTAGCTAGGAGGTGAGGTGAGAAAGAGAGGATCCTATTACAATAAATACATGTTCTATTAAGAAAAACACTGTTCTCTTCCAAATTATTACACCAGGCTCAGCACCATGGTATCTGACCCCTTCCAGAATTATGAAAGCAAACAAGAAGATCAGTTGATTGTAACTACTCTCTTTTCCACCCCTACACAGTTGGTGTGAGAGCTCTGAGAGTTCTTGTAGCCCAAGTAAGTTAAATGTCACATATTGGGGTAATTCTTATTGGGGAAGCAAGGTGGGTGGGGAGGGTGGGGTGAGAGAGAGAGAGAGAGAGAGAGAGAGATTGTGCCACTATCTGAGGCCAGACCCCAAAAGAGATCCTCTGTACTGATGAGCTTCACCTAGAGATGAAGTTCCATTATTCAGGAGTCATAAGGGATGGTCCTAGTCTTAGGGAGAAAGTCTTGTAGGTATCTCGAGCCTAAAACTTTTAGGAAATGTCATCACTGTGGTCACAATGTATTCCCAGTAGGGACCATTCTGAGCTCTCCCCAGTCACTCATACTAGCACACTACAAACCCAGAACTATGCTGGTGAAGACATCACAGGACACCATGAACGATGCATACCCCTGGCAGCTGGGGGGCACAGCTGCAGCGGGAGTGCGGCAGCGGTAAGTGGGAGCTCCTGCAGACACCTCCAGCACTGCTGGCGGTGGGCGGGGGTGATAAGCACCGACCAGGGGTTAACGACCACCCACAGATGCCGCAGGCAGGCTCCGGGGCAGCCAGCAGGGATCACTGACTGCCTGCAGATGCTGCCAGCAGTGCTGGTTGGGGAGTGGGGTGGTGAGTGGCAACTGCCCACAAGTGCCTTTTTGTAAGGGGTGCACCGCCACGCTCAGGGAGTGCACATGCACTTGCGTGCACCCCTTACGCATTGCCCCTGCAGGACACCCATCTGCAGCTGCTCTCAAGACCTCGACCAATGGCATGCTTGAGAATAGCATGATAGATACCCCAGAGTATCTTCAGAGACGTGCATGCTTCTGGGTTTGGAAGATGTGAATGAAATAGGTGGGTGGGGTGTCACTGTATCAATCCAGGCTCAGACATGCCACCCTGAAGTGTAGAGGTGTCACTTGTGCATCAAAAATAATAACCAGGACCTTAAACAATGTACTGTGTGAAGTCAGCAGAGAGAGGCTGTAGGTTTCTCAGCAACCTATGTTGTTACTGAGGAAGCTTTTGCATTTTGGGCAGTTGCAGTTTTTTTAGGATGGATGCTTTCAAGCACAAACAGACTGTACTTCTGCCATCTACACAAGAGGTGAAGGCAGCATTTGAGGCAACACAACCACCTGTCCACCATGCAAATCAAAATCCTCAGGAGGGCCATGAAGTTGGCCAGGTCACAGAGAGAATATCTGTAGGGGTGAATTAGCAGAAAACTTTAATGGCTTTCTACACTACCTTGCTGAGAACATCGTCAGCTATTTCGTACAAAGTACTGTCGCTGCTGCCAGTAGAGCCTCCCTGTGTGCTTCCTCCTTGTGTTAATATCAGAGACTCAAAGAGGAGTTTTGTTTGCTGGAGATCCTTTGAAATATCCACATTTTCATGCAACCCAAACACCTCTGGCTGTTGACTAAATGGAAGATTCTACAACAAAACACATTAAAGAAGTACACATCCTCATTAGATAAAACAGTTCATTACAGGTCTGAGCTAAAATTTATTGAAGTTGCTGAAAAAGCTATCACAAACTCCAGTATGAGTTGAATCAGGCCTTTACAGAACAACTGCACACAATAATACTGGCTATAGAACAGCATCTTTACAAATGCAGAAAGCCATTGTCAAGAGATTCTCATCTCATTGCCATCCTTAGCTAACTGCTGACCACCTCCAGGAGCTGTGCACACTGAACTACAACAAGTGTGGAGCTTCAAATCTTAAAGATCCTTAGATCAGTGGTTCTCACCCTTTTTGAACCTGAGAGCCACCTCAACATCCCCGCAGAAATTTATGCAACTCCAGAACTGAAAGGAGGCAAGCAGAATCTGAAGTAGCGTGGTGTGGACACCTTAGTGTGGTAACACATCAGTGCAGGGCCATGCCTTGCAGTTACTCAAGCTAGCTCTGCACATGCTCTCTTCCAGTTAGGAGTGATATAGCTGCATTAGTGAAGGGCTGCACTAGGATAACTATACTGCTTCTCATTTGAAGGTTATTGCACATGGCGCAGTGTAGCATCTCAGCCCAGTATTGGCTTGTGCCACAGGAAAATTTGGGCTGGAGGAATGGGGTGGTATGACATCTCCAAGTATCCCCCTTGCGGCATGGCCATGGCATAGCTGCAGTTGACTGGTTAAGAACCACTGTCTTAGATCATGAAAAAACCTACAAGGGAACCCAGCATTTAGAGGTAAAGGACACCCAGCTAAGAAGGACACACAGGGAAAAAATGTTAAAAAAAACCTATTGAGAAACCTGACCCCTGAGGGCTGCTTACTTATGTATTGGTTTCAGCTTTTGCAGACTTTGCTTCTACTTTTGCTAATCTGAATCCAACGTAAGAGTAACAAGAAAAAATTACAACACCAGCCATGACCATTAGGATCTGTTTAAAGTGTTTCTCTTCCCATGTTTCCGAAGTCACCCATCCTAGGAACAATTCCTATGCCCATAAAATGAATCCTTGTTCCCAGCCCAAGACACCAGCTGCATTCTTAGCAGATGTTCTGAATGAAACCACCTAATATTTCACACTGATCCCTTTGTGCTCTGGTACTGTCAGACTTCACAAGCCAGTGAGAGACTGAGCAGGTCAGTACTTGGATGAAAGACCTCTTATAAAATATCTAATGCTGCAGTGCTACAGTGTGCTACAGAAATACTTCTTAGAGACATTACTGCCATGGCATATGGTGTTCAATATCACTGAAGATCCATTTGCATTTTTTTGTATGAGCAGGCCTGTTTTTTTGTATGAGCAGGCCCTGATGCCTTAAACTAATTTGTTTGGTCTAAATTCCCTTGACACCCTAATTAGATATGGCATTCTTCACTTGCTATACAAAATAGCAGTAGCTTATATCCTGTGCTCTACCTTGGAAGTTACTTCAGTTCAGTCATGTAAAGATATTGTGAAGATTAATCATTGTTTAGTAAGGCAGTCTGAGATTCTTGGAGGAAAGATACTATAAAAGTATACTATACTTTACTATACTATAAAAGTTAATATACATCACTGAAAGTTTTTTCCAGCAGTAAGTAATCTAAATTGACCAAACTTCTTGAGCTTTCAGTATTCAAAGAAAATAAGATACCTTAATAAATTCAAGATAGTCCTCATAGGTTCCTTTTGGTGGCGCGTGGTAGTTCCCACTGGGAGAAAATCTGTAATGTGGATTTTCAATTATATCTGGATTATAAAAATCATCCAGCATAGTCAGTAGCAAACGTCTGTCCCAATCATCTGTCACTCGACCTCCATAGTTACATTCACCCGTTAGATAAGATACAGCTTCAAATGGCACCTGGTTATACTCATTTATGAATAACTGAAACAGAAAATACAGGCAAATCTAAGAGATTTCATACCACCCTGAAGCCCTACAACTAAGCTCACATTATAAGTCTGTACAGTGGTTAGAGAAAAGGCACATGATCCATTATTCTGTAGGAAAGGAGAGGAGATGGGGCCAGAAATCTACCACCACTCTCCCATGCAAAGACCCAGAGAACTAGAGTGGTACACTGCAAGGGGGGAGTATGCCATAACCAATGCAGAACTGCAAGAAAGGTTGCTCTCCTCCTATATAGAAGGGAATTTAAATTCTGAAGTCTTTTCTCAGGTAGAATTCCCATTTGAAGTTAATAGTAGCGTTACTGGGGTAAAGACCTCAAGATTCATCCCAGAATTAACTAACCATCCAAATTATTCTTACAGTATTTATAGTAATACTAGCAAATGCCCATCAAGAACGACAGGCGGGGATAGAAGCCTGCATCCACCCCACCCTGGCCAGGGCTGGAACCGCTTCCCAGCTCCTCCCCACCTGCCACTTTGGGCCGGGGCTGAGTCTGGGTTTAGGTACGCTCCCCCCTCCCCTCTGCCACTTTGGGCTGGGCTGGGGCCAGGGCTGAGCCCACTCTCCCCCTGCCCCCCTGCCCACCACTTCGGGCCAGAGCTGCCCCCCCATCCCGTCTGTTGCTGCTGTCACCTCAGGCCGCAGGGTGGCACCTTGACCCCCACTCTGCCACCACCATCATGGTGGCATGGCTGCCAGCTCCTGTCCGAATGCTCACGCTCTGGTTGTTTCAGACAGTCAATCAGAGTGCGAATAAAGCAATAGGGACAGACAGACTAAGGCTTTTATAATATTAGAATATTTCCTCAGCCTACTTTTCCTACCAAACCATATGTCTTTCTGTTGCCAGTTCGCTTGTGATGTTTCTTGGGCTAGGAAGACTTTGCATTTATCCTAAGACCAGGTGTGTCTGTTTTTGTACTGGAACAGAAAAGTCCTGGTGACACTTTTTGAAAGCTTTTCCAATTACTCAATTTCAACATTTGTAATTACTTCCCTAAACTCTTATGATTCTTGTCTATGTAGGTTAGCTGGTCACAAACTGACATGACCCCTGGACCTACTCGGACAGGAATTCTCTGACCATCTTCTGTGTCTCAAAACTTCTTCTGATAGTCAAGACCAATGACCAACCCCCAAAACAGCTTTCCCTAGAGTAATATTACCCACTAGAAAGTGATTCCTCTTTTAACACACAGATTTAATTCCATTGTTATGCATTCTAAAAGGCTTTGTGAACACTTCTAGATTTCTCTTAATCTCATGAATGACTTAATATTTTCATAAATATAACAACAGTCTTCATTATTTATCTCTGTCTCGGCACTCACAGAAACATGAATTATAGTTGTGGAAATCTGCCTACAACTGTATGAGCATGACACAGCTTCTATTATGCTGTACATTACTTTACCTGCAGCTGTCTGATACTGATTCGCAAATCTGATTCATTAAATCCATAGGGGATATTCCAACCAAGAGGCCCAAATTTCCTTCTTTCCTGAACCAGAGCATGAAAAAAGCAAACCCCAAACAGCAATTTTTCCCATATCTTTAAGAAAAGAAAAGAAAACATAACAAAAAATATTATTAATTGGTCTAGCTGCACATGATCTTCAGTTTAGGCAGATAGCTGGTAAGCAAACACAGTAAATTACCAAATAGTGAGTGTAAGATAAAAGCACTGGAATTTGAATATCATTTGATATTTTTGAAACCTTAGTATATAACTGTATAACAAATGTACTCAATATTTAATGTGCTAGAGGCTAATCCTGCCATACCTTACTACTAAGGTCCTGAACACTGCCAGTTGGTTTCACTGAATCCAATAGTACTACATGCAGAAGCAAGAGTCTGCAGGACGGGACCCTTCTTTATTAACTAGTAACAGATGATAACACTGCACTCTGCTAATGAGAAAATCTTTCCAATGATCATTAGCTCAGCAATGATTATCCTGTGTTTTTATGGGAACAAGATTAGGTTAAGATACTGGTGATGCGATAGTGTCAGGTCTCCTTCAGTTCTGTCAAACTTATCCTTGACTTCAGCTCATTGCCAACTGGGATTAAGGAAGGGTTTCCCCTGTTTTAGAACAGCACAATAGTCCCTCCTCCCCCTATCTCCACTTCTGTATGTTTAATAGGCATGGCTCATAAACGGTGTTTGTGTATCCGGTTTTGCTTGGAAAGAAGTGATTTAGTAGTTTTTTTCAGTTTCATTTAATTACTGTACCTTTACATGGAAAGGAGTCCTTTGCACTAACTGTGCACTTATTCCCAACAAATAACAAGCTGGGAGCAGTTGACAATGTGCTGCAATGAGTGGTTCAATAACCAATAATTCTTATGGCGAGGGACAGACATTACACATAAACTGGTTTAAGAGATCAGAAACCGGTTTAAACCTGTAACAGAACAGATGTTCACTGCACATAAACCAGTTCAAAAATGACTGAAACCGGTTTGAGATAAGTCAGATACTACATTCGACCAGGTTTAACTGATTTGGATCAAACCAGTTTATGCAATGTCTGTCCCAGACCCCTTGTTGGTTTAAGATAAACCAGACATCCCCAGCATCCTGGCATTCTCTCTGGACTGGGCAGGGCTCTCTGCTCCACAGCAGGGCTGGCCCCTCCTCTCTGCTCCCTGAGCAGAGTTCCTCCGCACAGACCTGCAGACACAGCAGGGTCTGCTGGCTTCCCCATGCCCCCCTCCTCTAATCCCCCTTACCACTTGCTGCTTAAGCAGGGATCTCTTCCTCCCATCTCCCACAGCACAGACCATAGCCAGCATGTGGTAGGCTAGCTAGTGTTGTATAAGGCTCCGGCAGTGTGCAGACACAGCAGGGTCTGCTGGCTTCCCCATGCCCCCCTCCTCTAATCCCCCTTACCACTTGCTGCTTAAGCAGGGATCTCTTCCTCCCATCTCCCACAGCATGGACCCCAGCCCCATGGACCCTAGGCATGTGGTATCCTAGCTAATGCTGAGGTGTCTGTGTGTGGGTCCCTCCAATTCCATTGAAACAGGCAGGCAGACAGAACAGAGCTTTTGGAGCTAATTAACACCCCAATAAGCTGTTTAAGAAGAATTTGAAGTAATGGGAGAGAGGCTATGGTTTTGCTAATTGGGCAATAAAGCCTCTTATCAATTCTGGGCTGCCTTGCTTCCCTGTCAGTTTGCTGCAGACAGTCTGACAAGCAGGGAGGGAGATTGAAAAGCTCTGTATCATCAACAGATGCATGCACTGCACACCTTCCCTTACCTCAGAGTTTTAGCAAGGGTCTGGGGGCTGACATCACTCCCACCCCTTGTGTAGCCAGCAGGGAAAAGCCTGGGACCTGCAGGCAGACCTTCCTAATGAGGAAATCCTGCTAGGGCCTGGCCATGCCCCACCACTCAGTTTAGCTCTGTGGAAGGACAGGGAGGGCTGCTCTAGCTCCCCCCGGCTTGTAGCCTGAGCCACTGCAGGCATGTGCCTGAATTTCCTCAGTCCAGAGGGATTGTCTGTATGGTTGGAAACTAGTTCAGCTTAGCTAGGTTAGACTAACCTACAAAGGCTGAATCAATTCAGGCTTAGGCTTTTTGAATGTCTGTCCCTAGCCTATAAGGCTAAGACTGGTTGAAGATTTTGTTTTATGGACATCTCGCACTGGTAGAGCCCCATTGAGGGACTTCCTACTGTTTTTGTTTTACTACAGGGTAACTAGCATGGGGATTTCCAGCTTTGATAATTTAATAACACCTGAATGTTCATTTGACCTATAGCTGCATGGGAGTCTTCCTTCATTTTCTTTATTTATTGTCACTCAGAACAGGAGTTCATAATTTTAAGGAATGTTTTAGATTTGAATTTGGTGATAAAGTACATTTGCTGATTAAAAACATATTTAAAAAATTGGACAAAGCAAGCAAATTACCAACTCCTTTTCAGGGCAGCCAGAGAAGAAACTGGGATCAGAAATAGGATCAGAAAGATACGACTGTAGTAGATTTAACCGGAGGCCAGTAGGAGGTTCATTTGTCATCTTTACTCCATTCTGCAGAATGGTAGCTGGAAACTAGATGAAACAAATAGTAACACTGCATTAGGTGAATGTGGAAAACTGTTACATTGTAAGGATTAGTGCTTCTCTGTTGTGTCTCTTACCAGATGGATACAGCATATAGCTCTTTCTTCAAATGTATATATTACAATGTATGTATTAAAACCAGCAAAAGATTAGATGTCTCTTGGACGTATTTGTATTTTTAAGGTGTTCTTGATATTCAAAGCCTTAAAAATTGAATGCACAATGCCAAATTCAGGCCTTAGATAATTTGTGGCAAACTGATGGAGAGCAATCAAATGTGCAGATTGTATGCAAAGGGACAATGCAGTCACTTGTGTTCAACAGATTTACATTACTGCCTAAAACATTAAAAACCCAAGACCCATCCTTACTGGGTTTTTTTGTATTGTAGACAATGACTAGACTATACACTCTGGCTGGAACAACCTACCTAGGGGTATAAAGACTGCTACAGTAGACGAAGACCTAACAGCAAAACCACTTTTTGCCAACATAAAAAAAAAAAAAGTTAAGAATATTTCCACATTTTCTCCTCCTTCCTAATAAGAATGTGTTTTCAGGATTAGGTTCTTAGACTGTAAATTCCTCAAAGCAGAGGAGGTGCCTTAAAATGTTTGCAAAGCACTGAGATAAGACTTTATCACTTTATAGTTGATTTTGATAAAAAATGCATTATTTTTTTGTAATTTAAAATTAAATTTAAAATACTGACGTAATTTTTTTCACTAAAATAAATTAATGTACATGACTCTTCTGCAAATAAAATATCATTGTTTCATCATGATTTGTTCCAAGCAATAAACAGTCAAAATATAGATGCTGGAACTGAACATAAAGCAAAACATAAATACACTTTTTAAGTACCTTGTACCTTTACTCTCTTGACCATTAAAAATGAAAACCATACTTTTGAGTGCAAAACATAAATATTAAGCAGAAAATTCACTGTTTTATAATAAAGAATCTACATATATTTTATTCTAATATTTGTTGATTCTATTTTGATAATATAAATAATTTCATAATAATCTTGTAGTAGGATGGGTATATTTTTTAAAAATGCGCCCCTTCCTTGAGCCAGAACTGCATTGTGATTTTTTTTGGTGGAAGTGTTTATTACACAATTTTAAACAGATACTATGCCTTAGGAGATGGGTAACTGGTGAGCCAAAGTCTGAAGAAAGGATGACAGGTTTCACTGTTAAATTCTTCACAGATTTTCTCTAGCATTGGCATCCAGGAAACAGCCAGATGACAATTCTGCAAGCAAACCCAGGTCCCTTCTTCCATTCCTTCTTTAATCATTTTTGCAGCAATAGGTCCTTGTCCTTGTCCCAGTGAGATGGCTTGAAACTTATTTCCAACCATGCTTTTATCATTTGCAAATTTCAGAAGACCTTGGATGAAAGGTGCAATCTTTTAGCATTTGAGTAAAAGTCAATTAATCTTTGATGGAAGGGAAGGGAATTAAATAACTCTTTTGTTGAAATCTATGTACAACATAATGGTATATTATTTAGATGCAAGTTTTTTTCATAATTCATCAAATGTTACAGTATATAACCAGCCTGACCCAACAACATTCTAAACCTACTTACAAAGGTAAAAATGAACCCACAAGGTGCAAGAAAAGGGAGAAACAGGCCTTTAATCTGAAAAGCTGTACATTCATAATAGTCTGTCTCTCTGTCATTGTTTTGTAGAGCTAGGAAGTGAAAAACTCCATAGCATATACTTACTGGACATAGGATCTGCTCCTGGAGATAGCACAAATATTAGTGGGATTGTTGAGTTTGAATCTAAGTAACTTTTCGTTAGATCAAATGGTGGTGGCTCTACAAACTTCTTCCCCAGTTTATCCGTTACAAAGATTGTTATGGCCAGACTAATCTGTTTAAAAGAGTAAATATAATTTTTAGCATATAAGGTTCTGTCGTATGCAAAATTGCTTTCATCCTATTTGTTGTTTCTCAAATCATTATGTAAACCAAAGAGCTGGATAGGAATAATACAGCAACTGAGTAGCACAGTTACTCTGTCCAGCTCTTCTATATCCTTGGGACCTAATCCCTGGTATTCTTGCAGCTATCTTGTGCCAAGCTGTGATGCTGACACAATACAAAGAGACCACTGGGGAATGCTCCCACAACAAGGGGCAGGCAAGGACAGAGTCAAGAAAAAGTAACAATTCTGCACTGAATTAAAACAGTCTATTACACTGCCATTCCAGCTACAGAACTAGCTGAAGAGTCACTCAGTGGACTAACAGAACTGTTTGGAACATCTCAATCAATGACAGTGGATTCCAAGGAGGGTATGACAAGGGATAAATCACTCTAGATAGACTCTATTCATATACTCTCCCTCTAAAGCACCCGTTTTTGTCACCATCAGAGACAGGATACTGAGCTAGATGGACCATTGTCCTGACTTAGCATGGTACTTCTTAGGTTCTTATAAGCAACTCAGGTTTAACAGAGTTAAAACTGGCCAGCCAGCATCCTCAGAAAAGGAAGGATAAACAAGGTCTCTTCTCCATTGCATGCTGGACAGGGCCAGATTAACACATAGGCAAACTAGACACATGCCTAGGGCCCTAAGTGAAGAAGGGGCCCAGCTGTGCTTACTTCACATGTTATAATTATTGAGTGAAAAAGTAATATAAATATACAGTATTAAGTAGGGACCCACAAGTTTGTTTGCCTAGAGCCCACTAAAGGGTTAATCTGGCCCTGATGCTGGGTAACTCAGAACCCAGCATTAAACATTAAAACTAAATTTGAAGGAATCTGATAATGTTCAGAAAATAAGACCTTTCAAACATCCAAGCTTAGATAAGATTACATTCTTAATACATGTTTCTGAGGTCCTACCCAATAGGTTACACACACTGCCTAGTTGCTCCATGACTCTTCCTCCAACCACCAGCAGCCACCCGCTGTAATTAAAGGGTTCTGTTACTGTCTGGGTGATCCCACCTCCATGATCCTCTGCAAGAGACAATGGGATGTACCCTCTCATTCTAGCTTTTGAGCATCTACTCCTAGTGGACTAGAAACTTATCTTCAAGACTATCCATTTACAAATCCAGGACTCAATCATGGAATAGGGGGGACCTTCAAAAGAACAAAGTAGGATTGCATGGGATGAAGCACTCTCAGTGGAGAAGTATAATGCTCTCATTTTATCATTTTAGCTGCATTGCCTTCATGTTGTCCACAGCAAAGCCTGGCCTGAGGTAGCTGCCATTCAGCACATTTTACTTTTCATGAATTCTAATAGAAATCTATGTTTTTGCCTTGAAAGACACACAGAACATAGATAGATGTAATTAAAAACTGAGCCCACCTACTACTGTTGTACAGACAGAAACACAAAAAATATATATTTATAAAAAAAGGAGTTTTTATTCCAAATATTCTGCAATTTTAGGTGATGTTAAATTTTAAATTAATACTGATTAAAAACAATGCCTTCTGATTGTTCTTACAGTGCTGCTATGACTCAAAGAAAAATTAAGTGCAACTAAACAGATATTTGAAACAATCAAGTAGTTATAGATCCCTAATATCTAAGAGGTGAATAATACTTGTAAGTGGTACTTTAGGTTTACTTCGAAGTCATAAACTGATCATTGTAAGCAAGAGCTAAATATATAACGCATATATTAAATATGTTTAGGTAAAACTAGAACACATCTGATGATTTTTACATCAACGTCACTGGAATTCCAGAAGGCAAAAGTGTAAGAAGAAAATGTAAACTTAACAGAACGTATATTCTATTTATGTTATTTTTAGTTAACTGAAAGAACTATGTGGTCAGGTATACATACACACCACCATGAATACTGCATGCCCCCGGTGGGTGGGGGGCACAGCGAGCTCCTGCAGGCAACAGCAGCGCTGTCGGTGGTGGGAGCATGGTGGTGGCAAGCAGGGAGCTCGCATAGGCAGCCATGGCACTGTTGGCAGTGGTGGGGGAGGGTGGCAAGTGCTGACCAGCAACCGGCAACCACCCACAGATGGCACCGATGGTGGCCAGCAGTGATCACGGACCACCCGCAGACACCACCGGCGGTGTGGGCGGCAGGGTGGGTGGCAAGCGGAGACTGCCCGCAGGCACCACCGGCAGTGCCTTTTTGCAGGGGGTGCACTGCCACATGCAGGGAGTGCATGTGCACCCCCTAAGCATCGCCAATGCACACCACCTGACAAGAAGGAGGCAAGCAGTTACTTTTGGGTCGAAGTAACTCCTTGTTACTTTGTGATTGTTTATTTCTTTGCCTCCTCTTTCCTTTTGATACAAATTTAATAACCTTAGAAAAGGTAAATTCCAGAGAGACCTAATCAAAGAGCTGAGTCTCCTTTGCCTGCGCCTCCTACCTGGGCAGTGATGGTAAGAGTCCAAAGTCAGCAAAGGGCCCCAGCAATCGGCTATGAGAGGTCTAGCCATAGCAGATCCACTTTACAGTAACTGTATTTTTCTCAGATGTAGCATCCACTTGTATTCTTATCCTGATTCACTTATACTAAACATATTCAAGATCATAAGTTGCTGGTGTTGTATATGCACTTTGAATATCCTCAAGGTGCATCCACAAAGTATATCAACATATAAAGGGAAGAGAAAAATTACCCTTCAGTTCCTTCACCAATACAGAATCCAAGCCAGTGGTTTCCAAAGTGTTTCAGCTATCAATAAACAAATGAGCATTTAAGTGTTACCTCAATGGTGCCAAAGTTACAAGTATCAGGTGAGGAACTGGAGATGCTGTCCTCTTATTAGGAAGTGCACCAAATGGTCTGGTCCCAATGTTGGGCTTTGCAGGCCTTTCAGACTTAGAAGGGTGAAGTTATCTTTGTCTTCCTATCTAAACAGCGGTGCTCCCTCACGCTCCTGCTCCCAAAGACTCCATCTAGGGCTGCCTTAGAGGAAGAAGCACAGAGGCTGGAAGCTAGATAAGAAGATTCTTGTCAGGACAATTTTGCTTGCCTGGAGCTGAGAATGGCCTCACTGAATGGTCCAAAGGAAAGGTTTGAGGCAAACCTACCAAGTTCTTTTTTGAAAGAGACCAACAGACAGACAGAACATTTTTTAGTATGTACCCTCTTTTAAGGCAAACAAAACCACCTTGTGGCCATCATTAATGATAGCCAGCCACTTCATAGGAAAGATAGTTCTTGAAACACAGAGACTTTATTTAAGGTCTTGGCTAACTGCCAGTTACCAGAATTTATTTTCCTAAAACAAATTTTAAAAAAGTAATGTTTCTGAATGGCTAAAGACTATATTAGATGCACTAAATCCCTGCTAACACCAGATGCCTTAAAGCTACATAACAGTACAACTTGCTGAGTCCACCAAGAACATGGATCTTACCATGGCTCTGAAGCTCTAAATCATTAGAAGGGGGTTGCTGAGCCCCTTATGCCTTGGTATGTATAAGAGCGATGTACAAGAGTGATGCTGTAGCAGTGAAACAGATGATGAAGCAGATAATGCCCATGGTACAGGATCAAAGCACTTATGATGGCCAAAAATCTTCCCACCCATCTTAAATATACAAAGTACACTTGCACTGGAGGAATGCCAATGTACAGACAAGCACTTGAAGAAGAAACTAGATGCTATAACAATCAGTACAAACTGTATTACGTGAAATGTTATCATCTACAAACACATTTGCATATCCTTTTACCTTGTCTGGTCTGAGGCACCGAATAATGATCATCTTTTGTAGCTCATTCAACATCGTATTCATTGGTTTTGGTAAAGGAAGGTTTTGTGGATCTTTGTCATCATAGATTTTTCGCCATTCACTTATGTTTTCAGTAACATGATTCCTAAAGGAAAAAGCACTGACTATTATTGTAAATGTTGGAGTTTAGTTTTTCATGCTGATTAAAGATAATTAAATTGGAAGATCATGTGCAATGCAATTAATAAAATTCATTCTATATTATCATCCCTTCCAGCAATCTGCAATGAATCCTATGGTTACTCTACTACTTACTAGACCAGGGGTGGGCAAAATACAGCCCCCGCAGGCCGCTTTCAGCCTGCGAGGCCATTCTATCCAGCCTGCAGGGCCCCTAAAAAAAATGTAGAAAAGTAATATTTCTCTGCCCTTGGTTCCTGTCAAAAGTGACAGGAACCAAGGGCAGTAGGACCCAAGGGAAGCCTGGCAGGCTCCAACAACAGCAGGGCCACCTGGCTCCACCCCCCCAACTAGAAGCCCCAGCCCTTTCTGGGCTGAGAGCATGTTGCTGCCCAGGCTCAGGAAGCTCAGGTAAGGGGGCGGGGGGGGGAAGGACACACAACGGACACGACCCTGGGCAGGGAAGGAGCACGGGGGAGGGAGGGAGGAAGGAAGCGGCCCCTCCCCACCCATGCCCGGTGCCCCATGCTGCTGGTGCTTGCAGCCTGTGTGGAGCTGCCTGTGCCCACTCCGGACAGCCCCATGAGGTCTGCGAGCGCCTGCAGCATGGGGTGCCGGGCATGGGGCGGGGAGGGGCTGCTTTCCCCACCCCACTGCGCTCAACACCAGGCTGGCAGTGGGGCGGGTTACAAGCTGGTGCTGAGCATGGGAAAAAGCAGCCCCTCGCCCACCCCCTGGCCAATGCCCTGTGCTGCAGCCGCTCACAGCCTGCCTGGGGCTGCCTGTGCCTGCTCCGGACAGCCCTGCGTGGGCTGCGAGTGCCTGCAGCACGGGACACTGGCCATGGGGTGGGCAAGGGGCCACTTTTCCCCATGCTCAGCACCAGCTTCTTTCCTGCTGGCGAGCAGGGGGTTGGGGCTGTGCACTGCCCTCCGCCTGTACCACGGGGCTGGGGGGCACTGGGTGGGAGCGGGC